CCAGTCCTGATGCTATTGCACCTGGGCAGGTGAGCGATAAGGATGGCCTGGAAGAGGATGTCTGAGAAGAGATAAGTGGGTGGATTCTTTGCCTTCTATTCTGGAGCTAAGGCCACAGGAACTGCCGACGTGGGAGATGAGAGCGAGGGAGGATTAAGGAACCACTCCCAGCTTCGACCCGAGCAGCTGGGGAGAGGATGCTAACACGGGAAGACTGGGGGGACGGTGGGGCAGAGGCACTCCTCGGCTGTCGTCCGAGCATCAGGGACCCCAAGGTGTGCACACGGAGGCTGTCTGGCACATGGCAGATATCGGTGCTGGCCAGAGGTGTCCGGGAGGTTACCCGGAGAGCGACTGGATAATCAGAGAGACAGGCGAGACCAGCAGCAGAGGGACATCGAGTCAGGCGGGCTGGGGAATCCCAGCTCCACCATGCATCACTGGACAACTGACCCCATTTCTCCCCATCTCCTCATCTCCAAATGGGCGTCGCTGTGCGCACCTCACAGGGCTGACGGGAGAACTGGGACAATTAATGAGACATGGCACATGGTAGGTACTAGAAAAACTGCCAACCAAGAGCCATCAAGACACAAGGGAAGACGGAGGTGAAGGTCTGTTTGCTCATCGCACAAACATTCATTGTGCGCACGCCCGTGCCAGCCTGTGCAGAATGGTGTGGAGTTTAACAGCCAAATGATCTGGGTTCGAGTCCTGACTCTGCCACTGGCACGAGATACTTCTAAGGCCTGGCTTCCTCACTGGTAACGTGATACTCATGAGTCCCTAACCCCTCAGGGCTTTCCTGAGGATTAAATGTGGCAGGCGAAGCCCTTGGCAACCTGCCTGACTGTGTTATAAGTGGAGACAGAGTCAGGCATCGCTGATGCAGCGAGTTGCAGCCGGTGGAGAGAGGACCCCCCCCCCGCCTCCAAGGGCCACGACCTGCACGTGGCCAGAGACCACCTTTCCGCCAACCGTTCCCACAGTCACGCCCGGCCACTATCTCCATGCGGAAGGGCCCCACCTGTGAAACCACAAAATGCCACATCCCACTCCCTGGCCACGGCCTCCCATGCTTGCCGCGCTGGGGGCGGCTCCGCCGTTCCTGTTCGTCCACCTCAAACACACCTGCCCCTCTTCACGCAGCCTCCCCGCGAGCGCCCTGTGTCTTCGCCTCCCGCACCCCGCAGCGCCCCCCTACGCTGCGGGCTCAGCGCCCGTCCCCCGCACCCAGCCCTGCCCGCGCCCTGCCTGCGCCCTCCCTGCGCCCTCCCTGCGCCTCTGCATCTGGGCAGCCGGAGGAAAAAACAAAATCATCCAACCGCCGAGACGGTGCCCCTTCCGGGCACGATCGCCCACTTCCCCAGTCGCCTCCGCCGCCACCCGCGGCTTTCCCAGCCCCGCCCGCCCAGGTGCCCCGAGAGGAGCCGCCGCCGCTGCCTCCCCGGTGGAAACAGAAGCCGGGGGACCCACACCCCACCCGCGCCTGGCCCGCCCTTTCCTCCTTCCTCCCTGGAACAATGGCTGAGGCGTCTTTCCCCGAGTCTGGGGCTAATGCCACCGCGCCGCCAGTTGCACCATCCTGCCTTTGTTCCCGAACATTCCGTGCGCTGCGGTTAGGAGCCCTCGGCCTGGGTCCCAGTCGCGGCGCCCCACTTGGCGTTGTGCAAACCCGGGCGAGGGGCCGGTCTCGGTTCTGGCTTCCTCCTCTGCACAGTGAGTATAATCAGTCCCGCGGGTGCTCGGAATTTTCACGTGGCCGGAGAAGCATTAGTGAGTTACGTGAAATGAGTTAAAACACACACATCAGTGCGCAAATGAAACTGGCAGCTGCCCGGGGCGACGATACAAGGAACAGTAAGGAGCGCGGAGCGGAGGTTCCGGCAGACCTGAGTTTGTGCGCTGCCTCCCGCACCTGCAAGCTGGGGGACCTTGGACAAACCACTTCCCCTCTCTCAGCCTCAGTTTCCCAGTTTGTAAAATGGGGACAAGATAGTGCCTCTTCCATGGAGTCCGGACTTCCCATGACCTCACTGCCCCCATCCATCGTCTCTTCTCCCCTCGCGCACTCGCCCCTTCCCACCTCAGGGCCTTTGCACTTGCTGCTCCCTTTCACAGGCCCTCATAACTTGAGATGTCATATATTTTATTTATCTGGTTTTTCTTCTAGAATATGACCATCAGTAGGGCAGCGATTTTGGGGGGAAGATCTGTTTTGTTCATTACTATACTCCATTGCCCAGAGCCATGACAGATCCATAGCAGGTGCTCAGTAAGTATTTGTTGGGGCGGGGAGACACTAACCCACAGAGAGGACTTAGCGGGGCAGACACAATGTGGTATATTGCGTACAGTGGACTATCATTCAGCCTTAGAAGGGAAGGGAATGCTGACACATGCTCCAACATGGATGAATCTTGAGGACATTAGATGGAGTGAACTTAGCCAGACAAATGGGCAAATATCTTATGATCCCACGTATGTGACGCACCTAAAGTAGTCAAATTCACAAAGACGGGAGGCATATTAGTGGTCGCCAGGGGCTGCTGGGAGGGAGAAGCGAGGAGTTAGTGATAATGGGTGCAGAGTTTCGGATAAGTTTAAGTATTAAAAAAAAGATTGAGCACAGTGCCTGGCTGTGCCGAGTGCTCAGTAAACACGAGCTATTGCTTTGTTCTAAGTATCAACCAGTTGTTCCTTTCTCATAAACGGCCTTCACTGGCCAAACACCCCTTCTCCTCTCCCTCACACCCAAGAGGTGTCTGCACCTATGGTCTGCACCCGCCGCCTGGCTTCCGCCCCCAACACACCACCAAAAACCTTTGTCTCCAAAATCGCGAGTCACCTCTGTGTTCCTCCCAGAGGCATCTGACCACCCTGCCACTCCCTCATTAAAAAATGCTCTCAATTCCTTGACACCACTCTTTGCTGGTGTCCCTCCTCTCTCTTCAATTGTTTCTTCTAGTCCCTGGGGTAACCTGTTCTCACTCCCTAAGCTGTGGGTCTTCCATGGGGTCTTCTTACTCTATACACACTCCCCGGTGGGTTCCACACACTCTGGCTTCCCGTGCCGTCTGTGCTAGTGACGTCGCCTCCCAAACAGGGGTTCGTCTGCCTGGCAGCTATCAAGTCAACAGACACAGCCAAGCTGGCTGTAGCAAAGCGGTTTTTATTACTTGGCACAACTAAGGAGCACCTGGGAATAATTTCCAAAGCAGTATGTCCCCAAACAAGAGGGGTGGGCTGGTTTTATGGCCAGAGGGTCATGAGGCACAAGCTGACTGGATCCTGCCATGGGGCTGAGGCCAGGGGGCAATCTGATTGGATCCTGGGTCCTGCCATGTGGTGTCCACCTCTTAATTCAGTCCCCATGCGGCCTCAGTCTGAGCACTTAGGTTCCGCCCATGGTTGTACATTTGGTTCATCTGGGCATGCTCAGGTTGTGTGACCTTCATCCTGCTGGGTCCACGGCAACTGAAAAAGAACTCACAACTTTGTTACATAAAAGTTAAGCCAGATTGGTCTGGTGCAGTTACAGTAATGCCCCACCACTGTCTCTACCTGGGCAGCTCTCCTCACCTTCAGAGAGTCCCCAGCCCGTGTCCTGAAGGGCTCCTCTCTCCCCAACTCACTCCATCTCTCCTGTTCTCCACCCTCCCGCTTTGGGAATCTCTGAACCCCTCTCTAGGTCTGTGCCCCTCTCTCTGGGTCTTCATCTCTTCCTCCATCTCTGCAGAGCAGGAGTCAGGGACTGCCAGTTCTGGCACCAAACCTCCTCCCGCTGGGGTCCCTGCTCCCTCACCTCTCAGGACTGTGAGTGCCCCAAAGTGAGAAAGCAAGGCGGACAGCACCGCCCCAGCGCCAGGTGCCTCCTGCCCCAGCTCCTGCCCATTCTCCAGCCCCATCGCTGCCTCTCCGTCTCTTTCTGGTGCTGTCATCTCTTATCTCTACCTCCCTGCCCCCTTTGTCTGTGTCCCTGTCACCCGTTGGTATCCATTGCTCCCCTGACTCCCCACTGTCATCTACCTCTTCTCAGCCTTCCTCCTTCCCTTCTTCCCCTGCGTCACGTTTCCTTCTAAGGCTAATCCTGCACCTCGTTCCATCCTCATCATCATCATTGCTGTTATTGTGGATATGTTTGCGAGCGTGCGGCAGGCTGGGGGTATCTCTGACTCTTTTCTCTCTCTTCCCTGTTTTCTCTTTCTTCGTGTCTGTTTCTATTCTCTCTTCACCTTCTTCCCTCTCTTTTTCTGCTCTTCCACACTCATCTCTCCGTGCCTCTCTGTGCCTCCCTCTCCCTCTGTCTTGTTTTTCCATCTGCCTCCTGTGATCCCGTCGCATTTGCCTTTCTTCTCTTTCTCCATCTCTCTTCTCAACTCCTTCTCCCTTAGGCACATCTCTCCATGTGCCTGTATTTCTTGGACTCTGTGTCTGTCTGTCCACCTTACTTCTTACTTCTCATCCATTTCCCAGTCTCTCTTTCTTTTTCCTCCCATGGCTGCCTCTCTTGGTTCCTCTGTTCTTCCCTCTCTCAGCCCCTCCCAGCACCTTCCTCTGACCGCCCCCCAATTTCCTGAATCCACCACCACCACCACCTGGGAACCCTCCCCTGCCCACCCTGCCCTAAGGTCCCCCTCCCTGGATTCCTTCCAGATTGTAACACCTTCACCAGGCAGGTTCTCATTAACAATTGTGGCTGCTTCTCTGGCCAGAGAGGGGAGGGAGGGGATGGGATTAGGGAGTCCTGGAATGGGAACTAGGCAATAAAAAAATATATATCAGGAGCAGGGCGGTGGGGGGCAGGGCCAGCTGCCTAGACCAGGGATAAAAGGCTTTGCCAGCATGACTGGGAAGGGAGACACCACCCCTACTTCCTTCACACACCAAGATATCAGGGACAGACCTGCGCCCTGCTCAGCATCCTCCCTGCTGCCACTTGAGGAGCCCCCAGGCCCCACCTTCTTGCTCTCTGGCCTCTACCTCCCTGTCCTGTCTCCATGTCTCTGAGGGTCTTGGTCTCCGTGTGAGTGGCTCCCCTTGTCTCTGCCTCCCAGCCCCTGGGTCTCTCGCAGGTTCCTTCTCTCTCACGTCCTCTTTGCACTTGCCAGAACCCCACCCCCAGCCCCCAGGATGTTCCTCCTGCTGACAGCACTGCAAGTCTTGGCCATAGGTAAGAGAACAGTGGAGTGTGAGGCAAAGGGGTTCCCTGGGGACTCTGCGGAGAGAAGGGAAAAGTCCTGGGGATGCAGGATGTGCATGGGTGGCCTGGTGAGAAAGAACAGGGAATAGTTTGGAGGTCATGGGGTCTGAGGAGCGTGCTGGAGGCTTGACTTCTGAGTTGTGGATACACTAGGAAATTGTGGGGCTGAGAAGAGAGGCGGTTATAGGACGTGGGGAGCAATGAGGAAGGGATTGTGGAGAACTATTAGGTCCTGAGTGGGTCATATGAGCAGAAGGGCCGCAGGGCCCTCCTTGACTGTGGTCGGGAGGAAACGACACAGGGAAGATGGCTTGTCCAAGGGGAGGTGGAGGATGACGACGAGCTGGTACCATGGCAGGTTGGTGTGGTGGATGGAGTGAGTAGGGGTGAGATGGTGGATCCTGGGGGTTGCACTGAGTGGGGAGGTTGGGGAAGAGACAGGGAGCTCCTTGGATGTGCTGGGGAAGGACTAACAGAGGACATGTGGGAGTCAAGGGTTGTAGATGTAGCAAGGCCCCTCATGAGGTGACCGTGGGACAAAACAATGAATACTGTGAAGGTGACTTGGGGGTGGTCAGAGAACTCCCTGATTGTGTTGGGGCAATAACAGGGGCAATGTTGGACATATCTCACACGGGGCGGGCAGACAGCAATGGATGGTTTAGGGGTTAGACCAAAAGGAAGGCGACTTGTCAGTTCTGGGCATCCTGCAGAGTTGGGGGGTGGAGAGCATTTGCTCATGTGCTTTCCCCACCCCACCCCATCTACTCCTAGGCATGACACAGAGCCAAGAAGATGAGAACAAGATAATTGGTGGTTATACGTGCATCCAGAACTCCCAGCCATGGCAGGTGGCCCTGCTGGCAGGCCCCGGGCGTCGCTTCCTCTGTGGAGGGGCCCTGCTTTCAGACCAGTGGGTCATCACCGCTGCTCACTGCGCCCGCCCGTGAGTGACCCCCACCCGGATTCTTGTGCTAAGTGAGTTCCAGAGTCTAGAGACCCAGAGCTCAGCTGAGAACCTGGAACTCCATGTAGAACCCAATGTCGTAGCTGGTTCCTGGTTTGGGATCTAGAGAAGAGTCTAGACACAGCTCAGGATGTGGAATGTACCCATAAATGTTGAACTCAGTTTAGATTCTGAAGTCAGATCAGCAGCTTAGAACCCATTGGCCACCTAAGAACCTAACATGTAACCAGGAGATCCATCCAGAGGCCAAGCTTTTCATCAAGCCCAAGATTAGCCCATTCCAGATTGGTGATTGACTCAGGGCACAGTCTACATTCCCAAACTCAGAACGCTACCTAGCACCCAAAGCCCAATTCAGAACCTGCAGTGTAGCCATAAATTCAGAATCCCACTTATGAGTGGAACAGACAGCTGGAAGAATAGAAATAGAACCTGGAGTCCCTTTCAAATCAAAGTTTATTCAGAGTCTAGTCTATAGCTACTCTTTGAGTAGCCTAGAACCCAGACCTCAACCCAGTGTTTAAATCCCGGAATTGTAGATCACAGTCTGAAGCCACATATAAAATCCAGAACCCCTTCCAAATTTTAGACCTGAATTCCAGCCAAGAAGTCAAAGTCCAGGCTAGAGCTCACACAGTGCCTTGAAGCCATAACTAATGCCATAAACTCAAGTTTAATCTAGATCCTAGAGACCACAACTCAGCCCAGCATCTAGAACATAAAGCCCAGAATGCAAACCAGCCTCTAGAATCTTGGATCTAGGTTATAAACTAGAGCACCATCTAGAATTCAGAGTCCAACCTTAGGTCAAGGGCTCAGACCAGAGTCTAGAGCAAAGAGCCCAGACTACACCCTGCAATTCAGTCTGAAACAGAGGCTGGCCTAGAATCAAGAGCTCAGACCAATGTTTAGAACCCTGACCCCAATTGGAGCACAGAGCTCAAACCATTGTCTAAAACCCAGTTCATAAACCAGAGCTTAATAAAGACCCCAGAGCACAAGCTACAAACTGGAGCTCATAGAAGCGTCCAGAATCCATAGCTCAGGTTGCAGTTCCTTGTTCAAAATGGAGCTCTGAAACCTAAAACAGAAAACTCACACTAGAATCTAGAAACTATGCCATGATCCAGACTCGATCTAGAATCCTGACCCTAGCCTACAGTTAAGAGTTTAAAATGTCTAGAGCTCGGAGCCTAGGCTAGCCATGGAATGGAGCCTACTCCATTATATCCATGCTGATTTAGAGCCTGGAGCCATAATCCAGAGTCGCGCTTAGAACTCAAAGCACAGAACCTGGCACAGATCCTGAAACTGAGGCCAGAACTCCTGATCATCACCTTATACCCACCAGGAGCTGGAACACAGCCCAAGAGAGGACGGGGAGGAAGGTGGGGTTGGGTCAAGAGAGAACGTCCAGGAAAGGGCACAGGAGACCAAGAAATGCTCAGCCTGAAGTTGGAGGGAAGCAGGTTAGACGTAAGGGAGGAGAACTCATCGCCAGGTAAGGGCACAGGGCTGGAGGGTGGGGAGGCATCTCTTGGACAGACCGTGAGCAGTTCTACTCTTGGGGGTCATGGGCCAGGATCCTTCGAGTAGCCCTGGGCAAGCACAACCTGAAGAGGTGGGAGGCCACCCAGCAGGTGCTGCGCGTGACTCGCCAGGTGACACACCCCAGCTACAACACCAGAGCCCATGACAACGACCTGATGCTGCTGAGGCTGGAGCGGCCTGCCCGGCTGGGAAGGGCAGTGAATACCATCCCCATCGCCCAGTCCTGTGCCAGCCCTGGGACACCCTGCCGTGTGTCAGGCTGGGGGACCATATCCAGTCCCATTGGTGAGGGTGCCTGCATCCTGGAAAGGAGGGGCTGGGGGACTGGACCCTGGGTCTGGGGGAGGAGGGGCTGGGGACCTGGACCCCTGGGTCTGAGGGAGGAGGGGCTGGAGGCCTGGATCCTTGGGTTTCCTGGGAGGGTAGACCCCAGTTGTAACCCCTCAGTGCCCCCCCAGCCAGGTACCCCACCTCTCTGCAATGTGTGAACATCAACATCTCCCAGAACCAGACGTGTCGGCAGGCCTACCCTGGAGCCATCACCGCTGGCATGGTCTGTGCAGGGGTCCCCCAGGGCGGGAAGGACTCTTGTCAGGTAAGGCCCAGGTGGGAGCCGGATGTGGGATAGTTCGGGGCTGGGATTTGGGTACCAAAGGATCTTAGGAGCATGAAAGTCAGCAGAGGTAGGGAAAAGAGAGGGAAACCTCAGGGACTGAAAGAGGTTTTGATAGCGGCTATCCTGCTTCCTAGCCTTCTGCGTCTTGGGTGATGGACTTAACACCTTTATGCCTCATTTTCCTCATCTGTCAAATGGGGATAACACCTCTCAGGACAGTTGGTGCAGTTGGATGAGACGGTCCTTGGAAAGGGCGTGGGGCAGTGTCCACACATGTGGGCACTGGGGAAACTGTGCCGGGGCGTGAGAAATCTTAATCCATCCCCAAGAAAGGCAGATAGAAAAAGGAAGACACATGCTTTTCTAGAGATAGAACTAAGATGGAGAAGGGCCCAGTGAGAACCAAGGGACAGAGGCAGAGACAGGGCCCAGGGAAGAGGGAGAGAAGTGTCCCCCACCAGAGGGCTGGGGTCTCAGAGCTGGGGCAAGACGGTGTCTCAGCCTGTGCCCCTGCCCACCTGTGCCTCTTGGGTTCTCCATGTCCCTGGCTCTGGCTATCTGGCCATCAGTGTCTCTATCTCTGTCCCACCCCCTCAGGGTGACTCTGGGGGACCCCTGGTGTGCCAAGGACAGCTCCAGGGCCTCGTGTCCTGGGGAATGGAGCGCTGTGCCCTGCCTGGCTACCCTGGCGTCTACACCAACCTGTGCAAGTACCAAAACTGGATCCAGGAAACGATGCAAGGCAGATGGCGGTCCCCATGACTGCGTGTCCACTGTCCCCACTGGCCTCCCCAGGATTGCCCTCTCCACGCAGCACCCTGGAGCCCTGTCCCCCAGCACCCTGGTCCTCACTCCTGGCTCTGGCCTCCCCGTTCCCAGAGCAGGTGCTCCGGGTTTTTTCTCCCCACCCATGTGGCCTTGAATACCACAGCATCAGCACCGTTACTCAAGACCCCCCGTAGGCACAGAGGCCAGGAGCACAAACGCTCTGAATCGCTGTTATGTTCCAAAGAAGACAATTTTTAAATCTCTTAGTGTCTCTAAAAACCAAATAAATAATAACAATAAACATTGAACAATCCCAGATTTCATTCATCCATTCATTTAATGCATTCGTGGTTAGATTAAAGAAAATGTGGTCTAGATACACAATGGAATACTACTCAGCCATAAAAAGAATGAAATCACGTCTTTCGCAGCAACATGGATGGAACTGGAGCCCATGATATGTGAAACAACCCAGAAACAGATACTGCAGGCTTTCGCTTATGGGTGGGAGCTAAATAATGTGTACACATGGCTGTACAGCGTGGAGTGATGGACAAGCAGATTCAGAAGGGTGAGGAGGTGGAGGCGGGTGGATGATGAGAGGTTACTTAATGGATACAATGGACATTAGTAGGGTGATGGATACCCTAAAAGCTCTGACTTCACCACTACGCGATCTATGCATGTAACAAAATTATACTTGTACACCATAAATGTATACAAATTTTTTAAAAAAGAAACATGTACGCAGCGGCCCCATCATGCCCAGCCAGGAGCCGTGTTCCAACAAGTGGCTGCCTCATTTGTGTTGCTCCTTGGGAGTCTGCCCCCATCCCCAACTGTGTCTGGAGTCTGGAAGGAAACACCCAACCCTGCAGTGTGACCTTGAGCAGGGCTGCCCGCCTCCCAGCCACCTCTCTGAAGCTGCTATGGCCAGGGACAAGGAGCTGCCTTGCTTCGTGGAAAATTCTATGCAAATGGAGAGGTCCTCCTTGTCCTAATCAGATCTCAGGTGAGGAGAGTTGAGTTAATCACACTCTTGAGAGCTCAAGTCCAAGCAAAGCCCTTCTCTCATTTTATTTATTTATTTATTTCCACCCTCTATCCCTGCCTCTCTTCCCCTCCCTCCCCACAGGCACCTACGCAAATGGCCTTGAACACCCTGCATCCTTAGAAAAAACGGCATTGTCAACATCATCCTGTTGTTTCTAATTTGCATGAAATCCTTGTGTTAGGAATCTCATTCTCTCTCTTACTTTCACTCTTCGAACACTATTTATCGCACACCTACTGCGAGCCAGGCATTGGTTTACTTACTGGGCACCTGCTGTGCACCAAGCATTGTTGAACACTATTTATCGCACACCTACTGCGAGCCAGGCATTGGTTTACTTACTGGGCACCTGCTGTGCACCAACCATTGTTCTAGCTGCTGGAGGAAGAGCCGTGAGCAAGCCAGTTGGAATCCCTACCGTGGCAGAGCTTATATTCCAGCAGGAGATGACAGACAAGAAATAATAAACGCAATTTAAAAGCAAAGCAGAGTCCCCATGAGTAAAAAAGCCTATGAACTTGGGCTGGGCGGCAGGCCCAGTGTGTGCCAGAGCCAGCTCATACACGCTCACAAGAGTCTGCTGGCAAGTTCTCAGGAATTTTGAGAGCCAGTTGCCAAATACAGCCATTATTAAATATTAAATTACGTAAACTTGCAATTAAATAATTTATTTAAAAAATAAAGGCAATAAATACTCAAAAACTCATCCATTCCTTATTATTTTAACTAATCCCTTTGCTTTGGGGTTATCTGTGTCTGTTGCGTTATGTCTGTAATGGTCAGCTTCTGCACGTCTCTTCCCAACTCTCTGTCCTGTGACATCACATTGGTAGCTTGACATCAGCCAAAGTGGGAGTATTTACACCACAGACATCGGCAAACGCTACAGATGAGGACTTTTTTTTTCCTGAGGGAGCCATTGTTAAACCTTTACCAGAACAGCCCTGAACAGGTCTGCCTGGGAATGACCTAACGATCTGTCTTCCTGGAAGTTCTGTGCTTGGATACTACAGAGTGCAGATAAAGTAGAATGTTGTGCTGACCTCATGTTCTGTGGGGGACAGCACAGTATCGGGGAGCTCTTAGGTGGCAGATCTAGGACCTGCATGACTACAGTGGTGCAAAAGATTGCTGAGAAATGGAAGCTGCACCTTCTTTTTTCTCCCCTGACACCACCCTTCAGGCCCTGGCAACCACCATTCTACTCTCTACTTCTAAGAGTTTGACTTTTTCACATTCCACATGTAAGCGAAAGCATGCAGTATTTATCTGTCTGTGTCTGATTTACTTCACTTAACATTACATCCTCCAGGTCCATCCTTGCTGTTGCAAATAACAGGATTTCCTTCTTTCAGATGGCTAAATAATATTCCATTATACATATATATTACATTTCCTTTATCCACTCATCCTCGCTAGACACAGGTTATTCCCATATCTTGACTTTTGTGTATAATGCTGCAATGAAGATGGGAGTGTAGATATCTCTTAAAGATACTGATTTCATTTCCTTTGGATATATACCTAGAAATGGCATTGCTAGATTATAGTTCTTTGAGAAGCCTCCATACTGTTTTCCATAATGGCTGTACCAATTTACATTCCCCACCAACAGCATACAAGGATTCCGTTTTCTTTACATCCTTGCCAGCATTTGTTATCTCTTGTCTTTTTGATACTATTCATCCTAATAGGTGTGAGGTGATATCTCATTGTGGTTTTCATTTGCATTTCCCTGATGACTAGTGATACAGGGCACCTTTTCAAATATACTTGTTGGTCGTTTGTTTGTGTCCTTTTGAGAGATGTTTATTCAGGTTCTTTGCCAATTTTTTTAATTGGAGGGGTTTTTCCTTGCTATTGAGTTGTTTTCATCACTCATGTATTTTGGATATTAACCTCTTATCAGAGATATCATTTACAAATATTTTCTCCCATTCTTTTGGTATCAATCAGTTTGACCTATGGAGGATCTGGAGACCAGGGCAGCCACACAGGTGGGCAGCCTGTCTATGTGACCAACCCTCAATAAAAAATCTGGACACCAAGGCTCAGGCAAGCTTTCCTGGTTGGCAATACTCCATGTGTGTTGCCACACATTGTTGCTGGGAAAATTAAGCACTGTCCCTAAGACTTCACTGGAAGAGAACAAGTAGACTCTCATGCCTGGTCTCTCCTGGACTCTGCCCTATGCACCTTTGCTGATTTTAATCTGTATCCTTTCACTACAGTAAACCAAAACTATGAACATAATAGCATTGCTGCGTCCTGAGTCCTTCTAGTGAATCATTGGATCTGTCTTGGGGACCCCCGACTATAGTGGTTAACAAAGTCTTCATGGACAGGATGGCAAAAATGGAGGGAACCATGCAGACATCTGGGGGAAGAGGGTTCTAGGTACAAAAGCCCTGAGATGGGAGCAGACCTAGCACGAGAGGGGCGAGAGAAGAGGAGAGGGTAGAAGATGACATCAAAGTGGTTGCTGTGTTGAAAATAGAGTATAAGAAGACAGGGACAGAAGCAAAGAGACCAGATAGGAAACTTGCCATAATCCAGGTGAGAGACGGTGGTAGCCGGGTGGGACCAGGGTGGCAAGGATGGAAGATGCTGAGGAATGGTCAGATTCTGGATCTATTTTGAAGGTAGGACTGACAGGGTTTGGTAACAAAATGGATGTGTGGTGTGGGAAAAGGAATTCACGTGTGAGACTACGGTTTTGGCTGAGTATTGAGAAGGATGGCACGACCATCCACCAAGAAAACCAAGACCACAGGAGAAGCGAGTTCGGAACGTGAGAAGGTGGAGAACAGGAGCTTGGCTTTGAACACAGAGATGTTGAGTAGGCAGACGGATGTTAAGTGGAAAGTTCAGGAGCAATGTCTGGCTGGAGACATAAATCTGGGAGTCGTCGGCATGTAGACAGTATTTAAAGCCACGAGACCAGATTAGGTCACCAAGGGAGTGAGTGTAGACAGAAGAGAGAAGAGGGCCAGGGACTGAACCAGAGGTGCACCCCCAGGTAGAGACTGGGGAGATGAGGAGAAACCAGTGCTAGACACAGATGAGGCTCAGCCAGTACGTTAGGAAAACCAGGAGAGCACAGTGCCCCAGAAGCTGAGGACAGAAACTCTTTGAAGGAACAGGGAGTGACCCACTTGTTAAGCGCTGCTGACGACTCGAGTAAGATGAACCCTGAAGAGCTGGCCCTTGGACTCCGCAACACGGAGGTCACCGGTGCCCTTCACAGGGGTATGGCTGGTGGAACCGTCGGACAGAAAGCCTTCCTAGAGTGGGCGTGAGGGAGGACGGGAGGAGGGGAATTGCAGGCAGTGAGCATAGCCAACTTCTTAGGGAAGGGTTGCAGTCACGGGGAGCAAAAAATGGGCCAGGACCTGAAGGAGATTGTGAGTGTAGAGAGAAGGTATCTGTCTGTTTGCTTTTAAATTTTAATGAAAGGGGACAAATTGTAGCATGTTTGTATGTAAATGGGACTGCTCATTGAGGAAAAAAAAAAATCGATGATGCAGGCAAGACAGCTGAGAACTGCTGCCTGGAACAATGTCCTCGAGGAGGCTGGGGGGACGGGACGCCAGCACAAGTGGAGGGGTCTGTCTCAGCTGTAGGTGCAGACTGTTCACCCAGAGAAACGAGAGAGGAGGCAGAGGATGTGGGCACGCAGGTAGGTGGCAAGATTGACCTTTCTAATTTTTGCTGTTCTGATGGGTGAAAAGTGGTATGTTGTTGCTGCAAGGGACGGGCGATCACTAAAGCCAACATCCTGAATAACACAGGTCCAGCTCTAAAGAATAATCCATGTCTCTCAACTCCTTGTGCATCTTCCTCTCTGAATGTCTGTTTCTCCCTGGGCGTCTCTGTCTATCTCTATACCTTTGTGCCTCTATCTCTTTTTGCATTTCCTCTGTCCTCTCCCACCCACCCTGTCTTTCTGTCTCTGTATATTTAGCTCTTCGTGTCTTTCTCTGTGTCCCCCTCCCTTCACGGTTGCATCGGGGCCTCTCCTCCGGGCCTGGGTGTGGGGCCTACTTTCTCATCCCAGCTAGCACTTCCAACCAGAACTTCTAGTTCCTGCTTGACAAAGAATCCCATTTTGAAGCCAAGGGTGGGGACTCCAGGAACCTCGAGCTGCCTCTATCTCCAGCTTTAGTTATTTAACAAGAACATTTGTGCCCTTGGTCTGTGCCAGGCTCTCTCCTAAGCACCTTCAAATGTTAATTCATTTAACCTTTCTCTATAAGGTAGGGCTTATTGATTGTGCCATTTTACAAATGTGGACACTGAGGCACAGAGCGGCCTCATCACCTGAACTCAGGCAGTTCAGCTCCAGAGTGAGTTTGAACTCTGAACCACTAGGAACATTGTCTCTTTTTCCAGTCCTTTCTTATTTCTCCAGCCAGGCTCTCTTTGGGGGGAAAGATCTTGATCTGTGAGAGAGTGCACTTGGATTTGGTCCAGTTTGTGGGTGACTTTCAGTAGCCCACCGTGTGTGACTTTCAGCCACGGGCTCCTTGTTGCCTTGTTAATCAAGTGAGGAGGCGGAAGGCGCCCAATCCTCTGTGGGCCCATGACCTCATTTCAACCAGAGTCAGCAAATCTGAGTCCCAGCCAATCACAACCCCTAATATCAGTGTTGACCTGGCACTCACCCCTCAGCAAATGCCAAAGCCAGCCACCCCTACTCCGGGCTCCAGCCCTTCCCAAGTGAGAAAGACTTCTCCGGAAGCACAGACCCAGGCCACAAGAGGGCACAGGTACCCCGACTTCCCACACAACCCAGTAACCTCACTTAACCTGGCATCCTCCCTCCAGCCATGCCACCTGAACCCAACTCCACTCAGAAAGGGTCAACTCAGGCTGTGCCTTGTGAGGTGGGGGAAGTTTAGGGTGGAGAAGGACAGTAGCCTTTCTTTCTCCTTGAGAGGAGCTCACAGCCCTGACCCAGCCCACCCTCACCAAAACCTGCCTCAGCACAGACACCGAACCTCACATCGAGTCCTCCCCACCTGTGTCAACCCACAGCCCCAACTCAACCATAGCTCAGCACTTCCCCATCCAAAACCTCAATCTCGTCCGTCTCCAGCCCCAACCCAACAGGACCCCATCCACCACCTTATCCCCAAATGCCTCCCATCTACAACCCAACCCTATCCCCCAAACCAACTCAGCCACCACCTCCAACCCTGTGCCCATCCTCATCCAATTTCCGTTCTCCTCCCCGAATGCATTGCATTCCTAATGGTGTCATCAGACCCATCCTAAACCTGACCACAAGCTCTACTCAATTCCCATATTGAGCCATAGCAGTGAAAGACCTTGAAATGGACCCAACAGGCGTCCTCAATGGAAAGCTAGATGGGGTATCTGATTTTATGGGGTCTCCACATGTTTTATGGCCTTTGAGCTACTTTACAACTCTGTAACTTGTGAATAGCTGAGAGCAATGCAAATATCATAATTTTTGTCCATACTGTGCAAATAAATTTTGCCAGGTGAAAGTACAATTGGTTTCCTTCCTCCTCCCAGTGTGGAATAGCCAGTTTTGCATCTATTTGTAAATTCATTTCAGCATTCCTTATTGTCTATAGAGCAAGGTTCTTTATAATATCTTACTGGCTCTGTCATTTATTAATGACTCAAAATAAAATCTTTGACATACGTTCATTTAGTATAGGTCAGAGAGTCATGGTTAGGCCATTTTTAAAAAGTTATCTTTCAACACTAGATTTGATCCCCACATCCAAACCTCAACTCCCCTGGTTTGGACCACACCGGTTTTGACGGGAGCCCTCACCCCATTCATCTCTACTCCTTATCCTCACTGGGACACTACCACTCTCTCGCTCTTTCCAAACTTTATCTGGTCCCCATCCCTGGCTTTCTTCCAAATTCTGACTCCACCTCTACCCTTCTTAATCCCTAATCCTGCCCCCTCCACCCCCTGGATTAACTCAGGGCCCCACCCAGTCACAGTTCCTGGAGACACCCACTCATTCCCAAAACACCACCCCTTCCTCCTTCCTCTCCCCCCAGCCCCCATCCAGGTCCCCTGCTTTTCCCTGTCGACCTACCTACGTTATGTCCCCATGGACTCCCTCACCCCATCTGGCCATGCTCCTATAAGGCCATTTGTCCTAGATATTGCTTTCCCGGGCTTAAGCTCTGCCCCCACCCAAATCCAAGGGCAATTGATTTTCTATCCACCCAGCGGATAATTCCCTTCTTGTGCCTGATGGTTGGGGTTGGCGGAGGACCATGGAATAAATTTGAGTATCCCTGTGTCTTTCAAAGGAAAAAGGGCTGAAGATTAGGCTGGGAATTGGAACCTGGGTTTGCCGTTGAGAGATAAGCTTGGGATAAGGTTGGAGATGGGACTGGGCTTGAGGATAGGTGAGGTAAGGGTACAGGCAAGGCTGGGTAGGGAGGTGGGACTGGGGTTGGAAACCGGCATCTGGGAGCTGACCGCATCTTAACAATGTACACCGGCTTGGAGAGGAGGTTAGAAAATAGGATGGAAAATGGATTGAAGTTAGGGCTGAGAGTAGGGGTTTGGGGAGAGGCAGGGAAGGAAACGAGCTTTCCCCTTCCCCTTCTGGGTCCTGATACCTCAAAGTTCACAGTGGGTTCAACTGGCTTGGGTGGGGCCAGATCTGGGTCGCAGCATGTCCTGGACGCTCCGCCCCAAGCGGAGGGCCAAGCCCAGGCTGGGGGGTGCCAGGCGACAGCCTGCTGAGCCATTGGGGGTGGAGAGGGGGAGGCCAGCGACAAGGAAATGCTGAGTGAGCTGGGGGAGGGAGTTCAGGGGTTAAAAGCCATGGGTCGGGGCTGAAGTTCTAAGCAGCTGGCGGCCGAAGCTCCACAAGCGGGCCCCTCACTCAGGTAGGGCCCGCCTGGGGTGGGGGGACTCGGGGCAGGGGGGTTGCAGCGTTCAGGGGAGGGGAGGGGCAGGGGGCGAGGGAGGAGGACAGCTAAGTCAGGCGATGGAGAGGGAAGCTATAGGCTCAGATGGAGAGAGAGAAACCTGCAGAGATGCAGAGAGATGACGCGTGCAAAAGAGGTAAGAAACGCAGGTTGACAGACGCAAGAGGGGGACGTGGGCTCAGGGAGGCGGTGGGCTCCCGAGGAGAGGAGCGAGAGAGCGCACCGACCGCCGGCTTGCAGCAGCGCGGGGAGGCGCGGCCTCCTGGGCCGAGGGGCTGCCAGCCCGAGCCCCAGGGGGTGCACCTGCCCCTCCCACCTTGCTCGGGGACCCCCACCAAGGATGGAGAGGGGCGCGGATTCCAGGTCAGGGCTCTCCGAGCGAGCGAGGGGAGGGGAGATCGAAGACTGGAAAGCGCAGGGGAGGAGAGATCCCACACCGGGGCTCCGGGCCGGCCCTCAACGCCCCCTCCAACTTCTCCTCAGGCCCAGCCCGCCGCGCCCCACCATCCCGCAGCCATGTGGCCCCTGGCCGCAGCGATCGCCTCCCTGACCGTGGCCCTGTCAGGAGGTAAGAATGCGCGCGGGCGGAGGCGCGGCGGCCACTCGGGACAATGGTGGGAGGGTCGGCCGGGGGGAGGGGCGTGGGAGCCGCGAGCTCCGCCCCCCGCCCACTCGGGGCCGGGTCCCGCGGGGCCAGCCCGGAGCGCTTCCTGCTTGTCCCTACGTGACCTGGTTTCCCGGCTGAGGTCGGTCCACTGACCCCAGTTCCTTGGCCTCTGACCCTGACCCCTCCCTGGGGCGTCCCGGCGCTGAAGCGCCCACCCCGCAGCTCCTGAAATACCCCTGCAGCAGCCCCTCCCGCATGCGAGGCCTCCTGGGGCTCTCCGAGCGCGAGAGGAGTCGGAAGGACACGGGTTCATGTCCTGACGCCGGCACTTTGAGCAGGGAGCTTGGCTTCTTGGTGCCGACGTTGTTTCCGTCTGTGAAATGGGATAAGTACTTACCGCGAAGGGTCCTTGTGAATTTTAAAATGAGGTAATGCATGTCAAGTGTGGCGGATAAAAGGGACTTGAAAGTTAGTCTCTACTGCTTTATTAACAGTATTTTCTCTTCATTCTTAGCCCTTTCCAGAACCTTCTAATTCGTTCTTCCTTTAATCCTTGGGGTGTCCCCAAACTTATGTGATCCCACCAAAGTTGGTCCCCAAAGAGCCCTCTCCTCACGTTTAAGCCCCCTCTCTCTGCCTTTGCAGTCAGGTTCTCTGGAAACCCCATTCATGCATCATTCATTCATGCATCATTCATTCATGCATCATTCATTCAACAAACAGCCATTGAGCACCCAGCAGTGTGCTGGCTGCTGTACAGAGACACAGTCCCTGCTCTCAGCATCGAGTCTAGCGGGGACGCACGCAGATATTATTCAAACCATTACCTAAATAATCAGTTAATAATTAATTACTTTGAATGACGTGAGGTGAAGGCTTCAAGGAGTCAAGCCAGGAGCCTAGAGGTGTAATGAACTTGACTCTTGAGCCAAGACCTGAAGGAAGAGGGGTCCAAGGGCACCTGGCACCTGGCACCATCCTTGGCCTGAAGATGGGGTGGCTTCTCTTCTTTGGTGACACTTCCTGGACTCGTGCCCGTGCCTCTTCTGGGTGCCACACCCTAGGCTCGGAGCTCCACATGCTAAGTCTTGTGCCGTTCTCAACAGCACGCTGAGGTAGGTGCACTGTAATTACTCCAGTTTCACAGCTGGAAAACCCAAGACTTGGAGAAAGAAAGGTCCTGCCTCAAGGACACTGGCAATGCCTGGGTCAGGACCCTAATCCGGGTCGTCCACCCTGCGCACCATATCCTGGACTTGAGGCTCTGCAAACCGTTTTCATAATTTTTAACCTAATGTTTTTCTTAAAGTCAGATCATTTTTTTTCTTTCACTGAAACAAAGGCACATTCAAAGTAAAGTTTATATCACTGTCCCGAATAGAAAACAACATCCTTTGCCATAAATTAAAGGTAAGGAAAGAATTAAATTCCGCACAATGAAAACAAAACAATATGTTTATTGGGTTGGACCACCCGAAATTGCCAACACTGACCCTTTTTGACCTCCTCAAAACAGCTATTGCTGTGGTTCAACTCAATCAATTTTAGGTTGCCTGCTCAGTCTTCTGCTTCCTCCTGGTTTTAAAAAGTGCGCTCAGTTAGGATTAGAGTGACGTTAAAATCATATTGGCACCATCGTGAGACTTTATCCTCAAGAAAATTAGGATCAAAAGAGGGCTGGATGCTGACTCAGCGTCAGAGTGTGAGATTTAGTGTTACTTACGCCGCATCTCTCTGCCACCTAAAATGTAAAATGGTCCTGTGCCCACCGAGGACTCCTGTCCCTAACTGAGAACCACTGGGCTACTCCCACCGCTGGCCATGTAGTCGGGGAAGCTGTCAGGGAGGAGAAGGGACCTCCTGTTGTAGCTAATAATTAATAATAACAGTCCCCACTTACTGAGCCTTCACTTTGTGCCGCCTGCTGGGCTGCATGTTTGAAATGCAGGATCTTATTGAACTGTACATCTGCCCGAGGAGAGACGAACTATTACTTTTGCTACTTGACTGCTGGGGAAACTGAGGCTGGTAACTTGTACGAGATTGAACAGTCAGAAAGTGACATATTCAGGACTGGATTCTCTCTGTCCCACTGGCCCATGCTGTGCCTCCAGTGACAGACACAGTGCCTGGCATACACAGCATTCATTTATTGGGCACCCATGGTGTGCCAGGCACTGTGCTAGGTCCTAGGAATGTAGCACTGAGTCAAGCAGTGGAGGTGCCTGTTGTCAGTGGAGCTTACGGTCAAGCTGGCAGATGAAAATGAATAAATAAATGTAAGCAAATTATAAAGAGAAATCAACAGTGATCATTGTTCTGATGAAAATCAATTGGAGAGATGTAACAAGGAATGACTGGGGGCCAGGAAGGGCAGCATTAGACTAGGTGGCCAGGGAAGGCCTCTCTTAAGAGGAGACATCAGGCCTGAACTCTCAGAATCAAGAAGGACCCAGACATGTAACATATAGATTCTCAGGGCCACCCCACAGCATATTCCATATATATAGGAAATGTCCTGTGTCTCCACTGTCCAATATGGTAGCCACTGGCCACTTGAGGCTATTGAGCATTTAAAATGTGGCTGGTGTGACTAAAGAACCGAATTTTTAATTTACTTTTGTTTCATTTTAATAGCCACCTGTAGCTAGTAGCTACCATATTGAACAGCATAGGTCTGGAGGAAGAAATGTCCAAAGAGAAAATACAGCAAGTACAAAGGGTCTGATATATTTGAAGAACAGGGTTAGGAGGCTCAACCAGAGTGAGGCAAGAGGAGAGAGGCAGGGGATGGGGTCAAAGAGGCTGGCTAGGGCCAGGTGGTGCAGAGTCCCGCAAGCCTTGGAAAGGTTTTGAGACTTTATTTTGAAGGAAGTCAAGACTGGGAATGACCTGTCCTGACTTTCCTTGTTCAAAGAGTCCTCAGGCTGCTTTGCAAAGACTGGATTGAAGGGATCTGAAAGCAGCAGGATTTAGGGTGCTGTTGTTGTCATTCAGGCTACACAAGATGGGACTTGAACCTAGATAGTGGTGGGAAAGCTGGAGAGAACTGGATATTCAGGAGGTAAAACAAGCAGGACATGTTTGTTGTGAATGTTTGAGGGAAAGAGGGAAAGCAAAGATGACTCCAAGGTTAGAAGTTGAGCACTGAGGTGGGAAAGGCCAGATGGAACAATTTTGGTTCAGAAAAATCAAAGTGTAAGATGCCTGTAAGGCATTCAGGTTGACAATGTTTGAGTTTCAAGCTTAAAGAAAGAGTTCAGGGCTGGAAATGTGAATTTGGGAGTGGTTAGCCTATGGGTGGTATTTAATATGTGTTGAGAGGATGGATGGATGGATGGATAGATGGATGGATGGATGGATAGATGGATGGATGGATGGATGGATGGATGATGGATCCGTGGGTGAGTGGATGGATCGATGGATGGAGGGATGGAGAGATGGATGGATGAGCAGGTGGATGGAAGGAGGGAGGGAGGGAGGGATGGATGAATGTCTGGATGGAGGATGGATGCATGGATGAGTGGATGGAGGGAGGATAGATAGATGGAAGGAGGGAGGGAGGAAGGGATGGAGGGATGGATGGATGAGAGGATGGATAGATGGACAAGTGGATGCACGGATAGATAGATGGATCAGTGGATGCATGGATGGATGAGTGGATGGATGGATGGTTGGATGAGTGGATGGAGGGAGGGACAGAGGGACGGAGGGAGGAAGGGATGGGTACGGCCTAGGTGGACATATAAGTCAGACTTACTTCCACCTCCCGAAAGCCATCTCTGTGGTGGAATGACAGAGAAAATTCAGGTGAAGAGAAATTCAGACTTCCATTTACTTATCAGAAACATTCTCATTCCATGAATTCTTCTCTTAACCCCCCGTGGAGGGTTTGGCACCTCTGTGGAAAACATCACCTCTTTGCCCTGACTCATCTCCACTTGACAGAGAATGGCAACTGCCAGAGGCCAAGAAATGGATCGCCAATTCCTGGTCACCCGGAGCAATATCCTGACCCTTTCCCCAAGCCCAGGGATCACCACTCCAGGGCTCCTCCTCACCCTGGACCCCAATTATCTAACAATTTTTCTTCTTCACCAGGCATCTCCCAGGAGTATCCCAAGATTCTCAATGGCACCAATGGGACCAGTGGGTTTCTCCCAGGTGGCTACACCTGCCTCCCCCACTCTCAGCCCTGGCAGGCAGCCCTGCTAGTGCGAGGGCGGCTACTCTGCGGGGGAGTCCTGGTCCACCCCAAATGGGTCCTCACTGCAGCGCACTGTCTGAAGGAGTATGTGGGGGCCAGGGGAGCCTGGAGTAGGGATGAGAATGGGACTGGGGTGGCAGGTGGGGTGCAGCTGGATTCCAGGATGGGATTGGAGTCGAAGATGGGGAAGGAGATGTGTCTGGAGGTGACTAAGGTGGGATGGGGAAGAGGCTGGGACTGGCACGCGGATGGAAATGGGCTCGTCCTCTCCCCTAACCACTCCCTTCCTGCACCCACAGTGGGTACAGAGTTTACCTGGGCAAGCATGCCCTGGGGCGTGCGGAGGCTGGCGAGCAGGTGAGGGAGGTGGTCCGCTCTGTCCCCCACCCTGAATACCAGATCAGCTCCACCCACCTGAACCATGACCACGACATCATGCTTCTGGAGCTGCAGTCCCCAGTCCAGCCCACAGGCCACGTCCGCGTCCTGCCCCTTTCCCACGAAGACTGCCT